CTGTCACTGCTGGTGTCCGCCCTTGTCCGTTGGGCATGCAGCATTTCTATTCATGTGTCTCCCAGGCCTGTCACTGGTGGTGTCCCCCCTTTGCCGGACACCACCAGTGACAGACCTGGGAGAAGAACAGAAATGCTACATGACCAACGGAAAAGGGCGGACACCAGCAGTGCAGGCTGGGAGACAAACGAATAGAAATGCTACATGGCCAGCAGAAAGCGGCGGACACCAGAGACAAATGAATAGAAATGCTACATGGCCAGCGGAAAGGTGCAGACACCAGCAGTGACAGATGTGGCAGACAAATGAATAGAAATGCTACATGGCCAGCAGAAAAGGGCGGACACCACCAGTGACAGGCCTGGGAGACAAATGAACAGAAATGCGACATTAGCAGTGACACCTGGGAAACAAATGAATAGAAATGTTGCATCCCCAGCGGAAAAGGGCGGACACCGCAAGTGACAGACCTGGGGGACAAATGAATAGAAATGGTGCATCGCCAGCAGCGACAGACCTGGGAGACAAATGAAAAGAAATGCTACACGACCAGCGGAAAAGGGCGGACACCACCAGTGACAGACCTGGGACAAAGGGCGGACACGTCTTGAGAAAGAATTGAGAAACCCCAACAGCAAACTGTTTGGGGAAAAAGTGGGAGAGAAATGCAAGGAAGTGGGAGACAAGCCGCCCGGAAACCCGACTACAAGCACCCAGCCTGGGAGACAAATGAAAAGAAGCGGGAGACAAATAAAAGAAAATGGGAAACAAAAGCAAGGAAGTGGGCGACAAGCCAGCCGAAAACCGGACCACAAGCACCCAGCCTGAGAGTCAATTGAAAAGAAGTGGGAGACACATTCAAGGAAGTGGGAGACAAGCCGGCCGACCACAAGCACCGAGAATGAAAGGAAGTGGGAGACAAGCCAGCCAGGAACCCGACCACAAGCACCCAGCCTGAGAGACAAATGAAAAGAACTGGGAGACAAAAGCAAGGAAGTGGGAGACAAGCCGGCCGGGAACCCGACCAGACCATCCAGCACCAAGGCGACCATTCTTTAAAGCATTGAGAACCCCTAACAGTAAACTGTTTGGGGAATGAAAAGAAGTGGGAGACAAATGAAAGGAAGTGGGAGACAAGCCAGCCGGGAACCCGACCACAAGCACCCAGCCTGGGAGACAAATGACAGGAAGTGGGAGACAAGCCAGCCGGGAACCCAACCACAAGCACCCAGCCTGGGAGACAAATGAAAAGAAGTGGGAGACATATGAAAGGAAGTGGGAGACAAGCCAGCCGGAAACCCGACCACAAGAACCCAGCCTGGGAGACATATGAAAGGAAGTGGGAGACAAGCCAGCCGGGAAACCGACCACAAGCACCTAGCCTGGGGAGACAAATGAAAAGAACTGGGAGACAAATGAAAAGAAGTGGGAAACAAATGAAAGGAAGTGGGAGACAAGGCAGCCGGGAACCCGACCACAAGCACCCAGCCTGGGAGACAAATGAAAAGAAGTGGGAGACAAATGAAAAGAAGTGGGAGACACATGAAAGGAAGTGGGAGACAAGACCGGGAACCCGACCACAAGCACCCAGCCTGGGAGACAAATGAAAAGAAGTGGGAAACAAATGAAAGGAAGTGGGACAAGACCGGGAACCCGACCACAAGCACCCAGCCTGGGAGACAAATGAAAAGAACTGGGAGACAAATGAAAAGAAGTGGGAGACAAATGAAAGGAAGTGGGAGACAAGCCAGCCGCGAATCCGACCACAAGCACCGAGCTTGGGAGACAAATGAAAAGAACTGGGAGACAAATGAAAAGAAGTGGGAAGTGGGAGACAAGCCAGCCGCGAACCCGACCACAAGCACCGAGCTTGGGAGACAAATGATAAGAACTGGGAGACAAATGAAAGGAAGTGGGAGACAAGCTGGCCGGGAACCCGACCAGACCATCCAGCACCAAGGCGACCATTCTTTAAAGCATTGAGAACCCCTAACAGTAAACTGTTTGGGGAAAAACAGGTCGTGAACTTTGGTTGTTGCTGAAGTCTACGTGCAGCGGGTTCCCCATATTTTGTTGCCGTGTGTGGAAAGGCACAGTTAAACAGGCAGCGTGCTGCATGTGGCATTGGATCGTTTTGGACATGCTGTTCTGCATTTTCAACATCTTTACTTTGCCCCAAGTGACATGTGAGGAGTGTGCAGGCGGACTTTGTTCGAAAACGTTGGCACGGTTGTTGATGACTGCAGGGCTTGTTTGTCATGGACACAGCAAGCTCCACGTCGACACTTGCCAAATTGTCCGATGTTACTGCTGAGCGCTGCGTTTGTGAGACCCTTGAGTGATGGCTAGTTCAAGGTGCCTGAACGGTTCTTTGGTCAACTTGCTCGACGCGATGTACTAAGAGCCCAAAATTCTGTTTCAGGGTGGTTGTTTTGCGTTTGTTGCTGCACCTCCGTTGTGTTTCTGTAGTTCTTCGGTTTTCCTTTTAGCGACGCTGGCCGAGTGCCTTTGGCGAACCTCCCGCCCAAAAAAACTCTTGACATTGAACGAGGTGGACAAGGCTGAGCGAGGGCACTTTTTGGTGTTCAATGTGCAAACGACCAACTGGATTAGATGAGATGCAGCAGCGCAATTTTTGTTTAATTTTTCATTAGCCACCCCCACCCCCCTCATGAAGCTGGTGTTTCAATTCGTTTGATTTCTGGCAGAGTCTCTCTCTCTCTCTCTTTCTCCTTTGTTTGCTTTGAAGATTAAAAGAGGTGTTTCGAAAATTGCTGTTGTGGTTTGTGTTGGGTGCCTGGGTGCCTCAAGATTGAAACGAAATTGTGAGATTCGTGCTTGGAGCAGGAGGTGGCAATTGCAGTGTGAAACAGAACGGACGTGACTTCACCGAGATTGGTTGCCGAGCACGTGCGAGATGCCAGGTAGCGTTCAAAAGGTCGAGGTTTACAAGGTTTGCGAATGTGATTCAAATTTCAAGAAACGTGGAACAGGAGATTGATTGGACTTTCACTTCCAATCATGCCAACTTACACCCTCCGATGGAAAAAACAAAACAAAACCATGTCGCATCAAGTATATCATTTAGGTTCACGTGCGCAGAGAAAATGTGCAATCCACCGCAGTTGGGATGCATCACTTGCATCATAGCTTGGGGTTGGTGGATGTTTGTGGGATCATCGGGCTCAGATTCGTAAGGTGTGCGATGTTCATTTTTGATTCAACACTTGCACTTTGGAATTTGTTTCAAGAAGTTTGATGTCTCAGAAACCACTTTGTGACGATGGGTATCACATGTGTAACAAGCAAGAAGTCAAGGCAATTGAGTCATGACATTTGGTACAGATGTGCGGATGTGGAAGGAATCAAATTATTTTTTCAGTTGCTCCGAATCGTTCTCAGCGTTCTTATTAATCACTGGAACCAGAACATCTCATCAAAGTCTCATGCATGATCAATGCTTCACAAACTTGACCAACAGTGGCAACAGTCGTAAACAACCAACAAATCATACAAGGTTGCCAAGTGTTCCGTGAGTCCCCATCGGGCAATCACATCGCATCAGGAGATCTGTGTGTCAACATCTCCACTTCATCATTTCTCAGACCTGACCTGGCAGACATATTCTTTGGGGCCTTTGGGGCCGACTAGCACATGCCGTTTTAGTTGATGCCGGCCTGGAGCATCCAAGAAGGGCCTGGGGCTCGAGCATGGCTTCGAGATTGGACCAGCAGGAAATGTCCTTGTCCAGCGATCCATTTCAAGACACTTTGTGGACGTGTTTGCAGATTTGTTTGAAGGAATCCTCTTTTTTGGCAAAGCCTCTTTGGCTGTCCCTGAAAAACCTTATGCACTGGTAGTTTCTCTCGGAAAAATGCCGCTGTCGCGGTCGCTGAGGCATTAAGGAAGCGCCATGTCCCACGCCACGTGCTCCGTTTCCCTGGTTGATGGCTGTCCGACGAAAGCGCAGATGGATCGCGGCTTGCGTGTTGGGGCAACAGCTCTCGGAGATGGAAGAGGTGTACGGACAACCCGCTTGCGACATTTGGACAGATGTTCATTTGATGCTCTCCTGTTGTCCAGGTACCAGAACAAATGGGTGGAGTGCATGCAGGAGCTCATGGAGCAGGTGGATCCCATCGATTCTGAGGGCTCCGTTTGGGTGTTTGTTATAACTCAGATGGGGGTTCCTGTTGGTTCTTCACTCATGGATTGGAGAGTTCTGGCAGGTCCTAAATCCAGGTTTGAGTTTCAAACATGCGACCACACTGGATAGCCAAAGCTCACGGCTTGGAAACGACGGCCCCGAGGTACAAATTGAGTACCTGCCCGTGGACGCCAAGGAAAATGGCCAGCACTTCGAACCTGGGTCCCGGACTCGGATGTTGGGGGTGCGAGAAAACATGCGAGGGTACCTCCCCCCCCCTCCGGTTGCTGGGGGTGCAGAATTTCCGCCCAGGAGATCCAAGCTCGAGCGTTGGAGCCGTTTTTTGGATTCTTTTGGTAGACCTGGTAGCCCAAGATTGGAGCTTTGTAGAATTAAGGGGCACAAGGATCCTTATGTGATTGCCATGTGGCCATGTGTTGCATTGGGTTTCAGATGGCATGTTTCTTCCGCAACTACTTGCCGGAACCTGTGAACCTGTGTGGAGAAGTGAGTAGGCACCAATCAATCAGCAAGCTTGGAACGATGTGCCTGAAACCACTAGTCACTAGCCGACTTCGCTCGTTTTCTTCAAGGTTTCAGCACTTTGCGCTGTTGTACATCAAGTACCTGCAGATCTACAGGTCTTTCAGTGGCAAGTATTTCCTTGGTGGCAACTTTTGTTGTGCTTAGCTGAGAGGGAAGGTCAGTAGCTCGCCGCCGCGATTCTGCGATGTTAAAACTTACTTTTGAATTGCTGGGATGCACAACTAACCTCACCTTCGCTCATCCAGGAGCGCAAAAAAACACTGGTCTGGACACGCCTGGCAGGAAACTGGAGGAGTGCCACGACCAGATGGTGCACCCGCAAAAGCGCGGCAGCATCAAGAAGGCAGATGGTAAACCTCTTTCGCTCCGCGTTTTAGCCGCGGAGAGGTCGCTCCTCCCGGAACGTGAGCGAAAGACTTCCTGGCAGGTCTTGAAAAGCACCATTATCCGAATTCTGGAGTTGAAGGAGCAGGCAGTTCGTCGTGGTTACTTTTGTCGTTTCCTTGCGGGTCTTGCTGCTGGAAGCACTGGTTTTGGTTTGCTTCTGTAGTTTGCTGGAAGCATTGGACATGCGTAGGTCAACATTTGATGGTCTTGCTTTTGTCGTGGGTTCACGGAGGACCATGTGCCATTGTGGGCTTACCCTAGGGTCTTGGATTCTGCCTTCCAACATGCACAGCATCCACCTTCCAGATGAGTAGATTTAGATAAGTAAATAGATGGAACTATACTTGATGTTTGTTAGCTGCAAGCTCAGCACTGCCAGTGTTGCCATCGTCCCCTTGTTAAAGCAGAAATGCGATCTAACGACTCTTGGTGTTCCAGACGGCTCTCTCGTTTGTGCCCCAACCGTTTCTCAGCCACCAACCCACCACGGACATGAGCGGCAAAGAGAGACGGACGTGCATCGTGGCCACTCGTCGTTCGGTGCATCGCCTGGCAGCTCATCACCTTCAATCTGCGGCCCTTGAATCGCTTCGTCGCCCTCGACGAGGTTGGACGGAGAGTTGCCGGTTTGGTGCTGAGGAGTCATGGGTGGAGAAGTACTGTAGTTGGGGGTGGGACTTTGTGCTGCAGATTGTGGAGGACCAGAAGTTTGGTTTCATTGGCCATCTAGTTGGATTTGATAAGATAGGATTTACCGGAAGACCTCCAACACCCACTAAGATGAGCGAAGGGCTCGGAGGCGGCATATTCGCAAGTATCGACGTCAACCTTGTTCACCGGGGTTCTTGTGCGATTTACTTATGTAGTCATGCTCAGCAGTAGAGAAGTGGATCAGAGGTTATAATGGGTCGAAGCACAAAGATCACACGTTGAGCTAACATTGGGCTTTTGGCAGAAACGCTGACAAGTAAGAAGGCTGCAACAACTTCTGACACCTACCTCCTCAGAATCTTTTTTACACTTTGACATACTGTTCAGAATAGATGTGGTTGGTGTGCTGCTAAGCGCCGCTCTACCAATGAGCTCTCGGTGCCAAACTTCCCCCAATTCTTCAGCAACTTTGGTGCTGCTAGGTTCTCACAGACCTCAAACTCAATCCGGAGACCGTGGAATGGAAGGTGCAGCACTTGGACACACCGTGGGGGGAGCTACGCCACGCGGCGTAGCCACTGCGCGCGACCGACGCGTAGCAAATTAGACGGGTCTCATGTCCAGCCATGTCACTGAGGTTCCAAGGTACTTCTTGGATGGGAAGGAGTGCAAAGAAGAGATTGAGGACAAACAGCACAAGATTGACCACTGCCGGGGGCTTGAGGACTCCAAACAGGGTTGAAATATCAATATCAATTTCAAGCCATGGCATGCAGCCATGGCATGCAGTTGTTCTTGTCCAAAGCGGGATTGACGGTTTGACCAAGGGCTGGGAGTCTTTGGCATGCCTTTGGAGCCAGATGACCTGCTGGATAAGAAAGACCCTTTTGAGGTCCCAAGTGTTGTGGTCGTGCCAGCCGAGGGATGTGATGATTGTGATGTTCGTCAGCTGTCTCAGTTAGAGCCCGGATCTTTTTGTTTGGGCTCGATTGACTGTCTGGTGCGGGGGGGTGGGCTTCCACCCCACCGACTCTCCACCGACTCTCCACCGCCCAGCGGACCTCGCCAGGTTGGCCTTACCACAGATCAGGCGGTGCGGGGCCTCGCTTGGAGTGGCCACTCTCCAGCGGACTGGGTGACGCGCTGGGCGATGCGCCCGGGCCGGCGGAGGACGACTGGCCGACGGGCCGACGGAGCGCGCGGCCGATGCAAGGTGGCCATTATCCAGAAGAACGAGCGCGGCCGAATGAACATTGTCAAAGCTGCCACGTACTTGGTTCTTTGCATGTTTGAGCGTTGATTTCGTACAGTGCAGTTGTAATAATTCATCCATTCCAGTTGCTTAGCCTCTACTTTTCCTTTCCTTATGACAGCCCAACAAAAGGAGACAGCGGAGGTTCTACTGTAAGTCTTTGTGACGTGTTAAGGACCACCGCGTCCAGTTCTTCAAAGCGTCCAAGAAAGACGCCTCCAAAAAGCAGGAGAGACTGAGAAGTTTCTGAATGATCAAGAGAGATGACTTGGGATACTTGGGCGATGAAAACAGCGTGAGTTCAATCTAGAAGCTCAGCTGGTCCCGGATGGACGAGGAGTCTGCTGAAGATCCTCTGGAAAGTCAGGCCTTTGCCCTGGATAGTTGAATCCTGCTTTCTTGCCTTCCTGCATCGGTAGAGGCTCCTAGCGCTTAAATTGTGTGTTTTTGTAGTTTCTTGTGCAGTGAGGTTCTAGCAGCAACCCGCATTGCAGCGCACTGGAAGCGCAAGGCAAAGGAAGCCTGCTTGAATGATTTGAAAGACATGTGGAAGGTTCTCTTCCTTTCATGGCCACAGTCTTCTTTCTTGCCCATAGGTTGACCGCCGGCGCTTTTTGAAAATGCGCGAGGAAGAGTGCAGAACTTAAATACTTCTTGGCTTCAAGTAAAAGGCTGCCCTGGACTCCGACTCATGCGAGAAGGTTGTTTGGTGTTTGAGGTCAAAAGCTGTTGCGAGTCGAGTCAGAGCTTCCCGAGTCGAAACGCATCTTCGACCCAACTGGTTGGATGGCTCCAGCGAGGTTTGAATTTCTTGGTATGGCTCCTCCAAAGAAAGATAAGGCTCGGGTGGGAGAGTGGACTAGGGAGGTGAGCACCTATGAACGCTGGTGGTCGTGGCCGGTCAGGGGGTCCCCACTCTTGCTAAGAGGCGGCCCCAACTCACGGCGGTTGAACGAACATGAGGGAGGTCCTGATACTTTGTTAGGCTGTGTTTGCCGAGCAGGGATCGTTTGGAGTGTGACAACTGTCATTCCGGATAGAGTACCCTGAAATAGGTCGACCCTTTGGCAGAGTTCCGACCAGTCTTGGCTGGCTGTTTCCAGGAAAGTTTTTCGTCAGTTGAGGGCGTATGAAGGTTCCAGCAGGTTGCAGCAGGTTCCCGGGGCCCCTGGTTTCAGGTTCATGGCAAAGCTCCACTTATGACTCATTTGACCGGGATGGAAGCACCTGTGACTCGACCCGATCAAGTCGAAAACGCGAGCATCGCTTCACTGGCTAAAAGGTCCAACAGATGGGCCGATCGGTTGATGTGTTGATTTGTTGTGCTGACTTTGCACGCAGGGAGAGACTGATGTGATTGCCGAGATGCAAAAGCACAGAGAAAACAGGACGCGGGTTCTGCCTGTTGGAAGACAATTACATAGCTGACAAACCTTCCATGTTTTTGTGTCATAGGCTTTTGGGTGTTTGACTCAGGAAAAAGATGCAAGAGGACGCCGATGATGTGTTTGAAAAGGCCAGTGATAAAAAGTCAAAAGTATATTGAACTCATCATTTATCATTTAACAACTGCATGTCAATGGTGACCTGGCTGCTAGGCACTCAAGCAGCAGCTGGAATGGCTGCAGAAAAAGAAAGGGGCTGACATCAAGGCATCCGACGGCATCCGGCGGCATCCGATGGCATCCGATGGCATTTTCTCTAGCATCTGACGCTCCAACCATCTCCAAGATTTCCCTAACGGCCCTGGGCCGTTAAAGTGATATCTGATATAAAGGTCTCTCATTCTTCAATATTCGGACCATTCTCCAAGGTCACCCTTCCACATCTCACGGGTCTCGGAATTCAAAGAGGTGAGGGAAATCAATGAACACCGTCCAGCTGATGTCAAGATTGGACAGCTGATCGACCAGTGGCCATCCGTCAAGTTGACCTGAATTCTCATGGACAACTCTTCGGTTCACCTGGTCGTCGAAGTCAAGGCTTCCTTTTCGGTCCACGTGACCGTCACGTGAGGCCGAACTCCTTGAAGAACGTCGACAGTGGATCCTCGAGTACTGTCAGGACTGATACTCTTCGGCGACATGCTTCGAAATAAACGAGGATTTTGAGAACTGAATCTTTTGCAGACTCTCGTCGAAAGTTCAAGCAAAACGGGGACATTTTTGGAGTCGTGACATCTCTCGAAATATCTCGGAATGAGATCTCAGCCTTCCCACCAAAGATGGGAACCTCGACTTATCCAAAAGAATCCAAGATATTTTTATTTCTTCGTTCTTTCCGTTGTTACCCGTTCGGCCCGTTGCCTCAGTCCATCAGTGTAGGACCCGGAGCACGGAAAGGAGTTCCCGGAGAAGTGGCAAGCTGAGAAGAGCCGAGTCGATATTGTTTTGCAAAGAAGTGCTAAAGGTGCTAATCGGATTAATCTTCTTGATTTCTGTGCCATTTCTGTGCTGTTTGAGTCGGTTTGAGTCTGTGTGTGCTGTAGGTTTGATGCATTTTACCAGCGCTTTGACCAGAACAATGCCCCTGCCTTACGCACAAGCACAGCATCAGCCAACTTCAACTTGATGTGCCAACCGATGTTGAAATTGTGAAGCGCTATGATTGCTGCCAAGGAGGATGAAGAAGGAGACAAAGGAAAAGATGGCAAGAAAGGGAAGGCTTTCGTGTTGCTGCATTGATCAGCCCAAATGAGTATTAGAAAGAGTGTGCTCATGGCAGGATGCCAAAGGAAAAGATGATAAAGCCAAGGGAAAAGGAGGAAAGGGTGGGAAGAAAGGCGGCACACCGAGTTCGATGCGATAAACGAACACCGAGTTCGGTTCGTGTGTGTTTGTTTGTTGTGTGTGTGGCGCGCAGCCGAGCTGTGCCGTTGCGATGTCAAGCGTCTCGATGTCCCGAACAATGGTGCACGAGAGCTCTCTCTCTTTTAAACCTTGGAATGACCGGCACGTTTTGAGCTGGATGATGCTGGATGGGGCTACTTGTACTGGGCTCGTGCCGTGGGCTCGTGCCGTGGTGTTCAGACTTGCATGGACTGTCTGCAGGGAAAGATGGCGATGGAGAGGAGGAGCCTTTGGAGGTTCTGTCCCCAGATTGTCTGAGGACAACTTAGGAGAAGGAAGAAGCTGAGTTGTGGGGAATTCTCCACGATCTTTCAGTTCACATCACACTCCCTAGAGAAGCTGAGATGGAGAATCCCGGGATTCGGACTAGCTGGCTACCGAGTTCGCTACAGTAGTGGCTACCGAGTTCGCTACAGTAGTGCCTTAATTCGCCTGGGGGGGGGTTGCAGGTGGTGTTCGACAGAAGAGACCCTTACGACGGAAGAGACCAAAGGGGTAGACGAGTCCATTTGGCGTCAAGTCCATTTGGGGGTTTTACACTACCAATCTGTTGCTTTCCGATCCCCATTCACCACGGGCCACGTGGGGGTTGTGGGGAGAGCCCTGAAAAGCCATTTCGTCAGCGGTGAATTGATGCAAACGCCGAGGATTTGGGGGGAGACCGTACTTAATTGGAGACCTCTAGGGTTTTTGAAGAACCAGGGTGGACCTTGCTTTGCCCTCGCCGCAATCGTCAGCTGGCTCACAGAAGATGTGGAACCAAGTCAGAGAAGAGACACATAGGAAACGAAAGAGAAGCCGAAAAGATTGACAGCTTGGTGAACCAAACGTCGTGACCGCGTCGCAAGATTTGCAGCTGTGGGCAGCAATCCGTATGTGTTTTTGAAACAAACCATTTCAGAGCAAGACGAACTGAGCGACCATCAACTCCAAATGCCAACAGCAGCACCCCCGAGTTGGGTCCGCAACACCCCCTTCCGCCACGGAAACTCCTTCTTCCGCCGTTTCGGCGGAATCCACGACAACAGCCCAGCCACAGCCTGGTCACCCGTGCGCCCTGTTCGCTCGTAGTTCCGGCCAACCCGGGTGGGGGTTGAAGGAGAACCCCGAATGAGTTGGTGGCCGGGCAGCTCAGGTTGGGGGGCAGGTGGGGGGCATGTCATGGATGCGGGTGGGGTCTTTGGAATCAGAAGGATCAAAAGTGAATGGGAGATGATGGGAGGATGTTTTCGACAGCTGATTCATGCGCTGCAGATGCTCAGAAAAACGGACGGCTTGATGTGGTTGTGCCTCTTCTCGTGGATCCCTTCGTCCCGAATGAGAAGATTCCAAAAAGGGGGCGTCTCTAGGCACCCAACACGGTTGCTAGCGCGGAGGAGCTCTCTCCCAAAGTGCCTCCATTCTGGGATTTCTTTCTGAGACCTGAGCCGAGTCGAAAAGAGCCACGAAAACAGCTGACCGTGGAGGTGTGGGGCCTTGATTTCCCACGAACGGCTTTGAGTTCCGAGGAATGTGGGGCTTTCTCCGAGATGCAGAAGGCTGTTCCAGCGCCAGCTCTTCTCCCGCCTTTTGCTTGCCTCGTGTTCGCACCTTCTCACGGGTGTCAGTCCGCGTGTCGGTCAAAGCAAACCATGATTGTTGCTCACCCTGAAAGAATTTCATCCGTGGAACATGCTCCCAGCGCCTGCACCCCGTGGGGGGACACCCCACCACGGCGACGAGCGGCGACTGCGGCGCTCACCGGTCTCGCCAGTCTCCTCGGAGTGCATCAACCGGGGACTGATGCTGCCGATGAGCCGAGAGAGTTGGGTCCTGAAGGAGGCGCCACGGCACGGCGGCGAAGCGCGCAGCATGAAGCAGAGCCCACCAGTTCTGGGAGTTTGCAAAGGATGAGAAGGGAGAATGGTCCGAAATTCTTGGAGACCGATTTCCAGGGTCAAATGATGTTCAAGACTCAATCATGCTACACCTCATCATGGTGCAACTGCAACTGGTTGGTCTTTTTGTTCACGCGTAACGTGGTGAGAGAGAATTATTTTGGAACTGGAGCCTGGCAGGCCTGCACGATCGGCAATTGCACCTTGAATGACAGTGCGGTAGCTGCGCAAGTCCTTGTCCTTGGCCAAGTCTTGTAATTGCTGTGAGTCCTTGGATTTTCAGATTTCTGTTTTGAAGATGTTGGCTCATTTCCAAGGCCAGCCATGAGCCGTGCCAAGCTTTTTCCAGACCCCAGTCGAGGCAAAGCTCCAGGCGGGAATTTCAATCAAACGCCATCCATCCTGTCCTGTTCAGACACTCAGCCTCAAAGACAGGAAAGTTTTTCTCAAAACTATAAAGCGTTTCAAGATGTTTCAAGTGGATCCCAGATGTGTCCCAACACCCCAATTGGACCGAGACCCAAAAACGGGCCCCATTTTCTTTTTTTTCACCTCGCTCAGCGCGTTGGCGAGGCCCAGGACCGGTTCCAGGCCGTCTTCCGTGGGGGGCTGTCGAAAGCCAAAGCGCCCGGCCGCCAGCCTTGCAGCAGCTCGGCCGAAAAACGGGGGAGGGTGGTTGTTGTTTCCATTTTCTTTGTCACTGTCATATATCAAGAACTTGGATGTATTTCATATTGCGAGTCAGTCCGCACAAAACAAGAAGTGTACCAAGCACTCTTGAAGGCCCCTTCAAAACTTTCGAAACCAGCCATTAACTTGGCGACGTTTGGCTCAAGAAAGAAAGGTCCGAGTGTATCTGCACTCACATGGGTTATGAGCCCAAGCAGATAGGTGAAGACCACCCGGACTTTTGATCCGGTCGATGGCCGCCATGGATCGGCGTCGGGAAGCCTCAAAGACGAGGAGAAGGACCGCGGATGAGCAGCTGGACGAGATGCTTGCGGAGCATCGGGCGAAGTCAGCGCCACCTCGACGGGCACCTGCGCTGAAGCGGACTGCGGCGACGCCAAAGCAGAGCCCGGTCCCATCGAGACCTCAAGAGGTGGTGCCAATGCCGGTCTTCCCGGATGTGCTCGAGTCTGCTGCCCCTTCCTGGTGGACGGCAAGGACAACCTGGTGGAGGTTTTGGAACAGGTGCGGCAGCCCTACTTCATCAACCCCCAACACTTTTGGTGGGTTGAGCTTTTTGTCTACACCTTTCCCAGGCAATGCCTTGAGGAGTGGAGTTCCGGCCCAACTACCAGTTCTTCCAGAACGAGGAGATCTACGAGGTCATCCTGGTGGTGGTGGTCTACATGCGGGACAAGTTCACCAACCTGAAGCTGGACAAGGAGAACCAGTGCCTGGGGTGAGTGGGAGTCCTCTGGGGCTCAGTCAAACGCAGAGTTCACCGATCAACCCATGGACGGCTGCCAAACTTCAAGAACAACAAGCCGGTGTGGCTACGGATCAGGTGGAAATTTTCCGACTCCAGTGTCTTCGTGAAGCCGAACAAAGGTTCGCGGAAGGAGTCAAACATATGGTGAGTGTGGGGCGTCCCTCTTCAGATGCCTCCTTTAAGTCGGTCCCAGAGGGCTCAGGTGTCGGCGGACCAGAGGGCGATGGTGGCAGTGGGCAACCTGCTGGACAAGGACATCATCCGCAAGGTGGCCAAGGCCTACAACCGGGCGCTGGAACTCAACCTATGTCGTCTTCGGTGACTTCGGGGACTACGAATGGTCAGAACCCTGGCATGCAAGCAGCCGGGACTATGACGAATGGTCAACATCCTAGCATGCAAGGAGCTGGGATGGGGACGATGGGAATTGGACCTCTCTTCATGGTGGTGGACCTGGCGGTGGTGCTGTTCCTGGAGGTGCCGGAATCGGGGCTGGTGGCTCCGAAGAGCGCATGAACGAGAGCCTTCGCAACGTGGAGTTGCCGGTCTTGCCATTGGACGCCAACTCGTTGACCTTCGGCGACTGGCTGGTGACCATAGAGCCACTAGTGTCAGATGTGAGCTCTTCGGCGGGAGACTGGTGGGCAGCAACAATCAAAGGGGTCGAGGAGCACTATGCAGTGTGGTTGTCCTCGGAACCTCTCCAACGGCTCAGGCAACCTCTACGGCGGCAACCAAGTGGCCGAGGACGGAGAGGAGAATGACCAGTTTGCTGCTGCAGGCGGTGCCTGAAGTGATTCGGTCGGAAGCAGTGGCGGCGAGGAAGTTGAGTGCGAACGCACAGGGTGGTGGGCAAACAACCTCCTACAAGTGAACCACAAGTACCAGGTCCACCACGGGCTTCGCATCCTACCACGGGGGGGGATTCTTCGCCTTTGTCAACTTCGCGCAAGGCTACATCAGGTGGGGATGCAGGTGGGTGGTTGGACCTTCAGCCCGTGGACAAGGAGGACATATGGCAAGACCAACAGCTGGACTTCCCTATATCGTCGACGGCGACTTCCGCAAGAGGTGTCAGGGCTATGAGAACGCTGGGCACGGGGGAGGACGACGCGCAGGGCTATGTGGGGAAGCGGCTGGTGAAGTTGGACAAGTTGCAACGGTGTGGGAGCATCAACATGAAGTTGTACAAGGCCAGCTGCAGCTATGGTTGGACTACGTGCCGGAGAACGAAGAGCAGGGCAGGGTTCAGGGGAACTTTGTGGAGCACTTCGTGGGGTGGCGCGATGAGATTGAGGGTCGCCTGACCGAGTTGGCGCGCAAGGAACAGAGCGAAAGGGTGCGATTGGCCAGTGTGCAAGCTGGTGACGCAGTGCTGCAAACGGTGACGGTGCCGCTGAGTGAAGTGCGTGCAAATCCCGAGGAGTGCCGGCCTTCGAGTATGAATACAATGTCCTGGTGCGTGACAACTCAGCTGTTCGGCCAGTTCCACGAACTTCACTTCCTCACAATACTGAATTAGTGCCTGGCAAAATGGTGTGCGTCCGCAAGGGCGGAACCGGTGCAAAACGTGCCCGTGCAGTCATACGCGGGAACATGGCCACGCTCGGTGCAGACCCGCCACCAGAGAACAGCCCAGGAGGGGCTTACGCCTCAGGCGCTGACGGCACTTTGATCAGAGCGGCAATACGCCAAGCTGCGCACCAGGAGTGGCGGGTGAGCTCGCTAGATGTCAAATCGGCATTCTTACAGGCACCACGTCCCGTACTTGAAAATGCTCGACCAAACCTCCTCGCATCATGGTTCAGTTGGGCGTGGCGGCGGCAGACGAAGTGTGGTTGATAGACAAAGCCCCATACGGGTTTACAAGTTCGCCAGCACATTGGGCGGTTCACAGGGACTCCGTGTTGGCATCCATCCGTTGGCAACAACAACAAGATGAGTTCTTCCTCGAGGTGACGCGTGAGCGCAACTTGTGGAGGGTGATGAAGCGGGGATGTGCGCAGCCGCAGGGGCTACTGTTGGTCTACGTTGACGACCTCCTAGTGCTCAGTGGGGAGGAGGTGCGCCAGGCCCTGATCCGTGAGATTGAAAGCCACTGGCAAACGTCGGTGCCCGAGGAGGTGAACCGCCAGCAGTGGGTCAGGTTCTGTGGCTATGAGATGAAGCGCTTCGAGGACCAGATCATGTTGGGACAGCCCTCCTTTCTCCGGGACTTGATAAAGCGGCGACAGGTTACTGGCAAGAGGTAGGACATGATGCCTCCTGAAGAACCTGAACAAGATGTAACTGTTGCTCACGTCCGCGAAGCTCAGTCCATCGCGGGGGAGATTTTGTGGATCGCCTTGAGGTCCAGGCCGGATTTGTCCTATGCGGTGAGCACGTTGGGAAGGCAGGTAACCAAGAATCCAAGGTGGGCAGTCGCCTTAGGGGAGCAGATTCTGGAGTACCTCAACAAGACCCCCGAGCTCTACCTGTTCTATGGACCCTGCAGGCCGGGAGATCGAGGACCTGATGGCGACCTTCCCAAAGAGCGAAGTATGAACCTGGTGGGGATGTACAGTGATGTGTCGTTCGCTCCACAAGGTGGTCGAAGTGCAAGGCATTGCTGCCATGTTGGGTGGTGCGCTCATCCAGTGGGAGACTTCCAGGCAAACCTGCATGGCTCTGTCAACCGCAGAGTCAGAGTTGTACTCCTACATCGAGGCGATCACCATGGCGGACTCGGTCAAGGCCGGAGGCGGTCACCTATGGTGATAACATGGCGGCCATCGCGGCATCTGAGGCTGCGTGCAAGTGTTCTCAAAGAACGCCTACAAGAAGGGTCATGGCGCATCTTTCACCTGGACGGCAAGCGCCTCATCGCGGACGTGTTCACCAAGGCGATCGTGGACAAGAACGTTTTGAGCTGGTTCAAGCGCTTCGTCCACTTTCAAGCTCCAGAAGGGGGAACGCGCGAGACGGAGGTCGTGGCGGAGGTGACGGAGGTCGTGACGGAGGCGAAGAGCAAGGCGAAGATGGTGGAGGCAGTGACCAAAGTGGCGAAGCTGGCACTATGCATGGCTGGTTGCGCCGCTGCAACATGCTTGCTGACAACAACAAGGGTGGCTGTGGTGGCATCTTTGGCGATTGGCATGGCCTACGTAGTGAAGAGTAGTGGGGTTTTGCGGGGAGTCAGGGACTGGGGGAGTGTTCGCATTTTTCCGACAGGGGAATTCAACATGAATTGAGGTCACTTGAACACTCCTCCCAACCTCCACCTCGCCTGTGTGCCCTGCGGCGAACGCCGTCACGGGAACAAACAGACCATGAAGGGTCGCAACAACGGACCAGACAAGAAAACGCAAGAAATGAACAAGAGGCCATGAATTCCAATGCGTCGGGCCGCACGCACAACTCTTGGGATGTCATCTCGGAGACAACAGACCCAAGGGTTCCAAACAGTAGCCTAGAGGCTCCCAGTTCTACCACCTTTGAAGTGGAAGCGTCCAGTGCTAGCCATGGCGTGTGGGGCCGCATCCAAATGCGGCTTCCAGCGGTCTTTGGTGGTGGCCGCGAATGGGTGGGACAAGATCAACAAGAAGAGGTGCACTACACGACCTCGCAGGTGACCCAGGCAGCGATGGACGAGGGCACGTATGATGTGACGCGGCCGCCCATCTTGGTCACCAGCGAAGGTATGCGGGTGCTACGCCCTGAAGAGGTGGACACGGAGACACAGACCATCCGCCTCCTTCCGAGCGACAGGTTTTTGGAGAGGTCACCACCAGCGAAGGCACCACCGGTGAAGCAGCCACGGGTGCCGGCACAGCGGGGCTATGGAAGTGGGGCTTCAGCGAGTTCATCTTTGAGGCCAAGCCAGGCGGCTGCGCGTGGGCAAGCGGCATTGACGGCTTCGAAGGCGGCAGGGTCTTCCACGCAGGGGATCTCTAAGTCCGGTTCCGTGGCAACAGGTGGCCCAATGGCTCCACCTACCATGGAGAGGCGACAGCAAGCAGCCACCGATCGGCCTTGGCACCGGCCGGGGAAAGCTCCACCGACCATGCTGATGAGGCCTACTGGTGGCATGGTGGATGACCAGGTGGAGTTTCAGGATTCCGTCTTTTGGACTCCGCAGGTGTTGGACGCCGTGCAGGACGTCATCGAGGAAGAGGCTCTCTTCTACAAGCCGGTTCACAAGAGTGACAAGTGGGACTACATCGACATGGATGGTGTCCGCTGGCTCATCAGGTACCATGGTGGCACCAGAGTGCAAAGGTTCCATCCGGAACATCGCAGCTGCCCTGAGCAGATCACAGATCTGGAGTTCACGCGCGTCACTTTCGCATGGGAGGGGCAGGATATCGACAGCGATTGGAGGCGAAGTGAGATCCAAGGCCCGGGAGGCTGGATCGGCTACTCACTCTTTTTGATCCGCTCCGGACCAAGGAGCATGTAGCGGCATAAAATATGCCGGGGGTAGTGCGAGTCAGTCCGCACAAAACAAGAAGTGTACCAAGCACTCTTGAAGGCCCCTTCGAAACTTTCGAAACCAGCCATCAACTTGGCGACGTTTGGCTCAAGAAAGAAAGGTCCGAGTGTATCTGCACTCACATGCATATAAATAACATATATTATATACATGGTTCATACGATATATAATATGAGATGTTGGAAGGGACGGTGATGGAGGTGTGGCTTTTCTTATCTTCACACGCAGGAACTCAAGGAGTCTGCCTCAAATCGGGCGGCCAGCTGGCTGCGCAACTACGCCACCTACGAGCAGAACGCTCAGATGCTGCAGGCTCTGTGGCTCCGGGGGCTTCCGGTGGCTGAAATCAGTTCGGTCCAAAAACCATGTGGGTGTGTAATCAGCTCAAGTAGGGAGACCTCCCAGGTGGAAGGTTCCGGAAAATAGACCAGTCGACCCATGGCTTGGGTGTGTCCGAAATTCATCTAACTACACACCCATGTGCAAAGCTGCAGGTTGCTTTGACCCTGGGAGATGGTCAGCACTCTTCGTTGCAGAGGAGTCGGGATGATTCGGGAGTCGGGATGGAAGAGTTGGAGTCTCCAGGCCATGACAGTCAGGTGAAAGAGACTGAACACCTTCTGAAGCTAGTAGCTTCTTGTTACTACTAGTAAGGCACTTGTTACTACTAGCGTGGCACTTGTTACTACTAGCTTCTTGTTACTACTAGCTGAAAAAGGGAAGGCCAAAAGGAAGTGATTGAAAGTGACTGGAGGGCGAGAAATGCGAGAAACTCGTCTGCCACTCTGGACCAAGTTGGACGGTCACCAGTCAGTTGCTGGCCACTCAAAGACGTCAGACGGTCCTAGTCCCTGGAAGTCCCTCTGGAGCTTTGGAACTCAACGAAGGACCTAAGGAAAACACGAAAGAGAGGACAGGCTGATAGCTTAAGGAGCAGATCAGGGAGAGGCAGCCGACAAGGAATGACAAGGTTGCTTGCAGAACTGGAATGGACATGGTGGTTGGAAGCTTGCTCGGGGACGACGAGACAGTGCTGGACGCGGGAAGGCGCTAGCAGGTGGTGCCATATGTGTTGTTTTCAAGATAAACAGAGCGAGATGCCGCTGCAAAAGTGACTTTGCTCGCTTGGGCACTTGACATTGACTGAAACTTTTGGTAGTGGTTGAAATCCCAAGTACGGAAGCTCAAATTGTTGACTTTTGCGACTGCAAGATTTCGGGGCCAAACTGACCATCCCCTGACTCTATGACGGGACTTGAAACAGTGCCTTCACCAATTGTTGCGCTTGAATTAACGTGACTATTGCAAACTCAGGGGCCCACATAGTTGAGCTGGTGCCTTCAACAATTTGCAAAAGAGCTGCAACCTGTGCAACCTGCGAAGGCAAATGCATTTGAGGGTTGCACATCCTTGATGACCTCGTCCGAAACATCAAGCGGTTAAATGATGCCTCTAGATGCCTTTAGCATGCCGGCCATTGGGGAACTTGACCATCATTATGCCTTTGCAAGTTGCAGCTCTTTTGCGAGCTTGACCCAGCATCGCACAATCTTGCGGTGTTTGAACACCACAATGTACTCCTGAGGCTCTCCTTCATGAAGCAGGAATTAATTACCGGATGAACATGATTTTTTTTAAACATCTTTTTACAAGAGTTTAGGTGCTGACCGACTTGGTTTCTGATGGTGTCTTTCTCAATTGCACTTCTTGAGTAGACTTGAACAGCGCGAACTCAGTGACGAGTTTGGATGGTCTTGGTTGACTTTGACCCTCGCAGACTCTGTGACCCGCTGCTTTCTCTGCCGTTCCTTGTGAGTGTTGGGAACACGTGAATTGAGGCAGATTGAGAATACTGCCTGTTGACTGTCTGATTTCAGAGCTGTATCGCACGCATACTGTTCTGCACACACACACACACTGGGAAGGTACATTACCCAGTTCCACATTTAGCATCATTTAGCATCATTTAGCTGCAGGCTGGCTGTGGGTTGCAAAATAGCACCCAGCGACCTCCATGCTTTAGTCATGTTTTCCATTTACAAGAGCCATAGTCATAGCTATGTCCCTGTCGCGGGAAGATTAATTGGCTCTTGTGTTTCAAGACCCGACGCATCTATATCTACCAAGAGAAGAAAAGTGACTATTCCAAGCAAGTTCAGTCGTACAAATTGAGGATCGTGCTTTTGGAAGTGCCAGCATAGCCAGTTTTGGAAGAGCTCGGGTTTTCTCGGTCGGGGTTTTCTTCTTTCGAATAACATGTGAAACCCATAAGCCTTCAGAATCACGCCTCAGATCCGATGACATCGTCCCGCAATTCTCCAAGCGATTTCTGCGGCTTCTGTATTGTCTTTGAGTCTTGACATGCGAAGCTACTAGGAGCAAGGACGCTACTAGTAGCTCCTGGCCTTACTAGTAACAAGAAGCTACAGGGAGCAAAGGGCATCGCTACTAGGAGTGTGGATTCGGCTGACCTTCAGCTGTTTGTACAACTATACTCTTTGTGCCCAGGTTTCGACTAGTGACTAGTGTTCACAAGATCATTTGGATGCCTCCAGCCAGGTTTATTTGATTTCTTCTGCACGCCACCTTGGCGCCAGGACCAACAGTGCCCCTGAACCCTTGCGGCCCTCCTCTGCCACCAATCGTGGACCTGATCGTCGTGGGAAGGTCTCAGGCGCGACCTAATAGCAAAAGGATGTCTGTTGCAAAGTCGTGTCCAAACATGGTGGTCCAAGCTGAGTCCATGCCATGGCATGGATGTTGGATGATGTGGCCAGTGATTTCAGGTGGGGCGGCGATGACTTTGCAGCGTCGACAAGGTGGTCATTTGAGAAGGCCAGGTCCAGGCGCGATGTGGGACGGCCGATGGTTTGTACAAGGATCCACCGCAATTCCATCCCTTCTTTTCAATCCATTATGTATATACTTGCTTTTTTTCTGTCTCATTCATACCATTCTCCTTTTTTTCTCCTTCCCCGTCTCCCCCCCCGACGTCCCTTGCTGCGTACCACCTTTTCGAGGCCTCCGCTGTGAGACCAGCGAGCGGCTGTTGCGCAAGGAGAACGGCTGGCCGGCGCCGTGGGCGGACGGGTCCGTGGCCCACGATCTGGTGAGGCGGGTGGCCATGCGGGTGGCTTCGTCCACGTCCACGGACATGCGGAGGTGGCAAGCATCGAAGCAGATGAACGTTTGCCATCTTCTTTGTGCAGCCTTTTAGGCACAAGACATGAGTCATGTGGAAGTCAAAAGAAGATCACATGAGGAGACCAATTCAGAGTGGTGCAAAGAAGCCAGAGCCTGGAACTTTAACACCTCTCAAACACAAATCGCAAGCTTCTCAGAGACCTTCGTCCAGCTGAATTCTGCCTTGAGCCTACGACTGGCTAGAGCGGATAGAGCTGAAACCATTTGAATCCCTTCATTCCTGGATGGCGTGATGTGCAATGCCACTCTCATGTCTCATGTTGACACTGGAGTCACAGAGACATGCTCCGAAGGAACACAGTCTCCATGCTGAGGATGGCGGACTTTCCGACGGCCTTTCGGGCTGCGACGGCTGACCTCCCTGCCTTAGGCAAAGGTACAGCGCATGAAGACCTGAAGAGGGCATAAAAACAAGGGACTTCAAGTCCCTGAAGAGACTTTGATCCATCCAGGGATGGTTTGATTCCAGCAAGTCTCCAGTTCAAAGGAATCTTGAATTCACTCCTATTCCTGGAGGTAGCAACATTCACTACTCTGTCAGCGCTGATCGGCCGGTTGCTTAGTCCGAAATCACGAAAGGTGGCCTGGTAAGGACTACCTTGAGTTTGCTTTGCGAAGCAAAGGGACTGGCTTGAGAGCTTGCTCGGGACTAAAGATTGGTAGATCAATGTCTAACACCCCCACCCCCCCCCTGTGTTTGGTAGGGTCCTAGGTTCCCCTAGGCGTGTCTACGCTATACGTGTGTAGCACCTGTTCTTGTACATAGATTAGTATGTAGCTCTTCAGTCCGCTTTCGACCTAATTCATTTGGCTCAAGACTTAGTAGCCCAATACCTGCATCCGCAGCCATTGAAAGGGTGTGCATCGCTGCCGCTCGCACACCGAACGCACTCGTGTGACTTCACTTGGTGTTTCGATCAGGTCCAGTTATCCAACTGCCACTTCTGGGGGAACTTACCCCTCAAAGTGGTAGCGGAGCTTGTGTCTCCTGCTTCGCAACGGTCGATTTTGCATTCGTGCCGAATCGTCCGATATTCCGGACAGGGGACAACCAAGTAAGTCACTTGTCAGAAAACAAATAGACCATGGTCCAGATCTTTTTATCAATCAATATGAATGGTTGGTTGGGTAGGGACATGTTGAGATGTGAAACATATAGTGAGGGATCCTCAATCTTATATGCCATTTTGGCTCAAGATTGGGGATTCCCTCGAATTTTCTTCGCCATGCCCACCATCCATCGCACTGACCTTGCTGCTTGGCGGGTGGTGGCGCGACGGTGGCGGCGAGGGAATCGGGGGAGGGACGCTAGCCTGCTTTCCCGTGAGGAGCGGCTTGCGTCTCTCGCGGCGCGTGGTGCCTTCATCGAGGCCCAGTGGGACGCGGTCTTCCGTGCACCTGATCTTCAAGCTGATTGGTGCCGGACGTGCGCCCAGTGGACCACGTCGTGGTGCGAAGGGTGCTACTCCCGCTGCCAGCCTGCTGACGAGTTCAGTGCAATCTGTCACGCCTGCGACGGTGAGCACCATGTCTGTGACAGGTGTGAAGCGGTGGCAGCAGGGGCATCAGCGCTACGTGGAGGAGAATGGAGAGGACCAAGAGAGCCAGGTCCACATCCAAGGGTTTGGAACCCAAACAGATGCCCCGTTCTTCCATGAGGCCAGCGAGTCAATCAGCCTCAGCGAGCTTGGCAGCGCCCTCAACATGCCCCCCGACCGCATCCGGGACTACATCATTGCACAGCTGTGCAGCCATGAGACCGGAGCAGGCCATGGAGGGTCAACTCCAGGAACTCCTGGTCGACAGGCCCATTGTCCTCCTGAATCACCTCGTGGACCTGGGCGTCCAGACGTGTGAGGACATCCACCACCTGTGGGCCACGGGCGGCGATTTGTTGGATGAGTTGGAGCGCCGGCATGGTGGTCTCGCGGCTGAAGAGGGCTTCACCATTGTTTCGTTTTGGACCCTGGCGTCCCAACGAGCTCAGGCCACCCGTAAGCATCACCTTCGTGAGATCTGCATCCATCGCCAGTCGGCCGTGGCGACCTCAGCACCTCCCAGGCCAGCGGAGGCATCAGCCGCAGTGTCTCGCCCGGTGCGGCGTTTGCTGGAGACAGGGGAGGTCCGTGAACCCCCCCTCATGATGAGTTTGGCGGCAGCTGATCCTCATGTCAAGGAACAAGCTGCCAAGGTGGCCAAGGTGCAAGCCCTGTTCGAGTTACTGGTGCAGGATTTCCTCGACCTCCATGAGTTGGGGGTGTCCAGGGCCCAGCTCCAAGATGCTACGAGGATGCAGCTGTTGAAGGAATCAAGTTTGATAAACATCTAAAGGACAACGTTGCTTGTAATCCTCAAATGCATACAGCATATCGCTCTGTTCTAGGCCAGCTCAATTGGTTGCAGAGTCGAACACAGGTTCACTTGTGTTACAAGTTCTCTAGATGTGCGTCCGCTGCTTCGAGTCCGACCATTGGTGACGTGCGTGAGACCAACAAGGTTGTTCGTACAATGAAGAGCCAATATGTGGATGCTCGATCCTGGCCTCTCAAGGGCAATCAACGCATCCTTGGCTTTCCTGATGCATCATACCGAAACAACAGCGACAAGTCCAGTCAACGTGCACACGTCATCTATTTAGCTGAAGAAAGACAGCCATATAACTCTCGATATTCCGAGAAGAAGGATAGCTCAGCTACACGTGGATCTATCATAGACTATGAGAGTCATAAGATCACTACAACAACTCAGTCTACCACTGTTGCTGAACTACAAGCCCTGATGAGGTGTTTTGGAACATGTTTTTTCCTTCGTGCGCTGTGGGCTGATGTCAGTGGCCAGATTCTTCCTATCCACCTGAGAACAGACGCAAATAACCTGGTCACCACTGCACAAACCACACATCTCCCAGAGCAAAAGGAAACACGTCACCTCATCCAGATGCTCAGACATGAGAGCAACACTGGCAACATCGATGATTTAAGTCATGTCGCAAGTGAATTCTGTCTCGCTGATCCTTTAACAAAACACACCGCTAAACCGGATGAACTTGTTAGAAGCATAGAGACAGGAACACTCTGACAGGTTGATGTGCACCCACCTTTCCGTACACTTGTGAAACACAAGGCCTTTTATCACTGAGTGGGTCATTAATAACCTGCCGGATCCACAGTTTGTTCTCACATTCTTTGCTGAAGATATATCAGACTGTGTATATTCACTCATGTGTGCTTCATGACATTTTCTTGTGAATTTTGTCTCAAGAAAATTTGTGTCTGTGACTGCATTTTCTGGTTCAAGCGCACTACTACGGACGAAGACAAGCTTGAGCATATTTAGTTTCTGTGATCATCATGGGCCGCAAGATTCCAGCACCTGCTGCCGAGACTCCAGTGGCGCCTTCTCAGGCACCAGCAGCAAAGTCCAGGCCTTGATCACCGAGCCAGCCCTCCACTGCACGACCGGTATTACGGTCCAGACGCAGTGTGAGTCTTTCGCGTCAGAGCGATTCGCCGCCCGATGCGGCGCATGCAGAATCCGGAACTCGCTTCATTGATGTTGTTCGCGCATCTTTGTCGCCTGAAGCCGGACGTAAAGGTACTGGCCGACATTCCGGCCGAGATCAATCGAAAGGCAAAGGAAAAGGCAAGCGCTCACCATCTCGTGAAGAGCGCGTGCCACCAGTTGAATTGGTACCCCGCGAAAGCATTCGCCCAACTCAGTCCAATGCTCGCGGTTACCGCCTCCATACTACGGTTCAAGGAGGAAAGCCTATTGTAACGCAGATTGATGAGATCATTGAAGTCGGTGCACGTGGCACCTCAAGCCGTGGCCCAAGCCAGCCTGCCGATCGCCGACATTCCGGCGGAAAAGGCAAGAGACCAGAGTCGCGCAACGCCGAAGGCCGATATTCCGGCCAAGGCAAGGGCAAAAGCAAGGGCACTTCTCGTGACGCAGGTCCTCGCCCTAGCGCAATGGACTCTGCGTTCGAACGCCCCGAGTACGGTGTTAGCTCAGCTTTCGTCTACTGTCTGTGGATGATTTGGTCTGGCTTTTTCAAGTTCAGCGATGAAGCTTTGACCAGGATTTACGAGAGCGAGATCTATGACAAGATCTCTCGTCAGCTAAGCTGGATCCTCCGACATTCCGGATGGACACATGCTGACCAGTCGCTCACCGTTTTTGAGCTAATGGCCGGGGCTCGTTTTAGGAAGTTGCTCAGCGTTTGGGCTCACACCTGCCATGCCAAGGAAGACCTTGCCTTCCCGGCCGTGCAAAAGGCCCAGATTCAGCCATGGTGTGAAGCCTCCGTCGAGAGAATAAACCTGCTGCTGCCGCTTGCCATCACCATTATGTATAATCAGAAAGGCAGGTATCAGGTTGGCATTTTGAGCACTTCCGATCATCAAAAGGGTGAAAGGTTTGTTAGTAACCCTCGCAACTGGATCCATCCAGCCGGTATGACGGCCGAGGATCGCAAGGAGCTTGCTCAGTTGTACAAGCAATTCAGGGCCGCGCATGTTTTTGCGCAAGCCGTTTCCAGCCATTCGGGAGCCGAGGCTCCAATTACAGGCCTAAAGATCCCGAAGTGCCAGCTCTCCGATATGCCGGACACGCTGGTTCACATGACCGAGTATCGCCACGTTCGTTCGATTCAGCAGTATGGCCTCCTTCCTGGAGGCGGCAACACTGCCGGCAATAAGCAACGTAACATGAATCACTTTTTGCCAATCGACGGACTTTTGGTCTCTTATGAACACATTCGACCAACGGCCAATGTGGCACTCGTCCTGTCTAAGACAACGCTGGAAAAGCGTCCAGAGCTCATGGAAGACTTTAGCCTGAGCAAGAATGGATACTTTTTGACCAAGGCCGTTATTCCGGCCGGTCTTTTCAGTCTTGCATGGGATATC